AATAGACCACTTGAAAGGTCTTATTTCTTTTTTTAAAAGCTATAGAGAAAATAGGTTTACATCTTCTATGATCTTGGCTAAGGAAATTGCAGAGCAAATGAATATAGAATCAAAATTTCGTGAAAAGCGTACAATAAGAAGAAAGAAACAATTTGATGAGATTGAAAATGAAGACATGAAATTATCTATTGAAGAATCTTTTAGAATTAATTATTTTACATATTTAGTTGATCATGCGATTTCCTCTCTTCAAAATAGGCTTGAACAATTTAAAATGTATGAAGATAATTTTGGTTTTCTTTATAGTGTAGAAAAATTAAAATCACTCAATGATGATATCTTGAAAAAAAATTATTTAAATCTTGAAAACTTTCTAAAGCACGATATGCTTTCGATATTGATGGTTTAGATTTATTTTCAGAATTAAAAGTTTTAAAAGAAATTATAACTATGGAAATGAAAACACCACTTGCAGTACTAAATTTTATAAAAAAGGTAAATTCTTTTCCAAATGCATGGATAGCGTATAGAATACTATTAACTATCCATGTTACTATAGCTTCGACTGAAAGAAGTTTTTCAAAATTGAAATTAATAAAATCTTATTTACGTTCAACTATGTCATAAGAAAGATTAAGGAATTTGGTTATATTATCAATTGAAAAAGATTTTGTTTGTAAACTTGAATACAAAAATTTAATTAGAGATTTTGCATCTCGGAAAGCAAGAAAAATAAAATTTAAATAATGTTTAATATTTATTTGTTTTAAGAAAGAGTTTCTAAAATATTATTTTGCCTAGGACCACATATATTATAAAGCCGACCCTGGAATAATTAATAGAGGTCGAACGTTTTGACAACTCTTTTCTTTGTTAAAGAATTTAGATTTGCACTATAAGAGGTAAATTCTATATCCATCACTTTAATTCATGAATATATAGTTAGTTGATTTAATGAGATGATCTTGGGCCCTTTAGATGGAGAAATTTTTATTTTATTTTACACCTCCATAACATGCATGATCTTTCACCCTTCCACCCTAATTGTCTCTAACTTTTTCATAATTCTTGGAAAAATATTTTGATTATATTTCCTATTCTATTTACTTTTAAATGGAATCTCTTCATTAGCATCCTCCTTATAGTCTCTATCATCGTGTTAACTCGGTTTATCTCTTGCATCTAAGATGAAGCTATTGAAAATTTTAGCCATATTGTTCAATAGCAAATCACACTTCACATCAAAGCCCATAGCATGACTTACCTATGTTTCCAACTCCACTTTCATCTAGTAGTTATAGGCTTGTTCATCTAGCTTCATGATTTCCTTTATGTGATACTCAAAGCGTTTTACTCGTATATGTCTTTACAACGTTTCATATATGGTATTTGAAAGCTTGGTTGTTGAAGTGTTTCTTGAAATTCTACCAATTTTGTCTTACATAGAATCTATAATCCACACCGAGACAAGTTTTCTACAAAAATTACCTCCAAACCCTCCAATGAACATACCAACATCAAATTTTATAATTATTGTATATAAATATAAGGTAATGTGTATATCAAATATGTAAACAAACCATAATCTTACCTTTTATCTATCTAAAATAAATATCCATGCTTGTTCATTAGGTAATCCAATGTCTTCAAATAGCAAATCTAGAAACCATTTTCGGTTTGGTCTTGTCTCTCTATACAAAATTACATATGCAATTGAAAATATGTTGTCATTAGCATTTTTGCTAACAATAGCCATCAATGCCAATGAAAGGTGTACAACCAGCTAAAATCCTTTTTCCTATAAGCTACCAAACACACACATATTTTTTTGAAATACACTATCACAAACACCAACTTTCATAGTACCATCGAGATTAAATTTCTTAATAGCAACAACATATTTTCATAACATTGCATATTACTCATTTTTCCTAACGCTTATAATTTCCTTTGTTTTCCGGATTATCCTAAAACACTTATCATACGAAACTTTTCATTTTTTCTCCCTCATAACCCCACCTCTTAAGGCCTGCGGATCAATATTAGGTTGATCCCTAATACCTTCTATATATTTTTAGGCAATCCATTGAGCAATCATCTTTTTTAAGTCAAAATCCTTTGCATATTTAAGCTTGTTGTAAAAGGTCTTAATCTACCAAAAAGTTTTATCGGCAGAAGGTGAAGCACAAAAATTTTAGCTACATTTCTTATGACAGATTGCACTTAATATAATAATCATTGTTTTTCTTATACTTATAGTCATATTCAATCTGAATTGCATATTCCCTCAATGCTTTCCTAATCATAAATTTATCCCTAAATTTCATCTCGAGTACAAGATTTTTTTTAAAAAAATCAATCTCAAGTTTAAAGCTACGATATCTAGTCTTTGTTACCCTAATCATACTCGTCGAACCATCCACACTTCTTATCATCATTGTCACCATGTTTAGTATCATTCTCACCATCCCAATCACACTCATCGTTCACATCACCATCATTATCTATCCCTCTTTTTATCCAATCCTCAACTTCTTCATGTACCCCTTTTTTCAGCTTCGGTGTTAAACAAATCATCTTGTTCATCATCATTGTCTTCAAAGTCACTTAATCTCTCATATTCTTCATCATTGTCATCATATTTTAAATCCACTTCAACATATTCATAATCATCTCTTTAACCTCATTGTTAATGTTTTCTTCTATATCATTATTTCTATCTTTAGAAAAATCTAAATCCGAGTATAAAAGCATCTAGTCCAAGCTTAACATACACAAATAACATATTCTTCTCATGGACATGCATATATAAACACACATTTTACAAATCATATTTATCATTTAAAACCTTAACTTGGTACCCATGTCCTCATTAGCATACTTATAACACAACTAGTGCATGCTTAAATATCCAACTGCATTAATTGTCCTTATAATATAGTCTATGTTCAAATTCTTCGTGTCAATAACCTAATCAACCTCTACAACATCTACATATTTAGTTTTTGAATGGCATATGAATTTACCACCATAAACAATCATTGATATTATCTACATAACCTAAACAACTAGAAAAAAAAAAAACAAAATATCATGTTAAAACCATAATCTTCTAAATACCATAAACAAGACATATTTTTTAAACTAAATTGATAGAAAAATCATATCGTTTTCTACATAACAAACACAAACAATTGCATCCAAAACTGAATTCACAAAAATATCCTACTTCCATTTCAAAACCCTTCCAACATGAAAGTCTAACAAAAACCCTAATAAAAGACTGTCACTTTGTTTAGGACCACTACCATTTATTAAGGACCACACATATGTGCAAAACTCATATAAAATTAAACACTCTGAGGTCACTCACCAACATTCCAACCCCACATAAATGTGTTTTACCCAACACAAAGACAAAGACAATGACAAGGACCTTTAATTGACGTTTAAAACATCAATTTTTCACAATGACTTTACCAATAAATTAGCCAAACACAAAGGCAGGGAAAAGACAAAGAAACTAATTAAAAACATGCCTTTCGAAGCAATTAACGACAAAAAAAAAAAAGATTTAACAATAATTGATTTATAAATTTCTAATCTTGAAATTTGAAGCAAATCATCACAAATCACTATAGAACTTCAAACCTTAAAGAAATTTCACAAAGAGACAAGAAAATGGTCTCAAGCAGTCTCTTCTCTCTCTTTGATTCGAATGTGTCTCTCTTTCTCTCTCTTTGAATGTCTCTAATGGCTTTCTCTCTGTTAAGGGCTCTCTTTGTTATTGTTAATGATGAATGTAATTGATTTATTTTTTCAATTTTAACAATTTCGTCTTTTTGTTTTCAAAATCATTTCTTTTGTTTAAATTTAGGGGTGGAATGATTTTATAATTTCATAAGATAAGGATGCTCGGAAAAAAGGATATCACCGACTAAATGTCCACATGTCATTTCATCATTGGGGCATGTCGGCATCATATGCGAAAAACATACTCAAAATTTGGTTAATGGGATTGACATATTTGATTACAAACTAAAAAATAGTTATGGTACTCGAATGAAAAAAAAAATTTGAGGTACCGGTTTACGGGCAATGCTTAGTGCATGATACTATCAAACTAATTAGCCATCCAAATATTATAGTTGTTACTAGTTAGATACCCACGCTACGCTGCGCTCAAATAACCGTTATACACGTAGGGTTAACGATTCGTATGATGTAGTACGAATATAAGTTTTATTTCTAGTGATTAATGTAAATCACATATATATATAGAGCAAAATTATTTGATTTATATATATTTATTAACAAAATATTTATGTTAGCATAAAAATTGTATTTGAATAATTAAGAGGTTCTTTCAAAACATTATCTAACTTATTTTAATTAAAAAGACAAATTTTAGAATATGAAAAAAATAAATAACGAACAATTGATATTATGTGTGCGGATATATAATTAATTTCTAATAAAACTAATGATATATATATATATATATATATATATATATATATATAATCAGAATTTATAAATAATAATAATATATTTTAAAAAATAAAACATCGACATTCTAAAATTTTATTCTAAAAATCATATATTAAAAAAAATTATAAACAAATAAAATTATATCAAAAAATTAAGTTGATGAGAATTTTAATAAGAAACAAATAATTAAATTTTAAACAATAAAAATAATATAATCAGATATATATGTTCAAACTAAAAATTTATTTTTTATATATTTAACACCTAATATATATATATATATATATATATATATATATATATATATATAAAGAAGGCCAAGCTAGCACTGGCTGGGTAGAACAGTAGCCAAGGCCTGTATGCCAAGCCTTGCTGCTGTTTAACCCAGAAAAAAAAAAAGAAAAAGAAAAAAGAAACTTAGGCACAGTAAATGAACAGTTGTTATTGTTCAAATGCCTTAGTTCTTTTAGTTTTTTTCTTTTAGAATGTCGGGATATGCAATTGCAAGGATGGCTAGGGTATTGGGACAACATTGCCTTGAATTTGAGCCAGAGAGAAGGATTAATGAGAAAGGAGAGCTTAACTATGAAATCGACCAAGTTCTTTACCTCCAAGTAGGACATAGGATTTGTCCAAGAAAGGAGATGGCCTTTAGTGTGATGAATGCTGTTGCTGCAACTATTGTTTATAACTACCATGTTCAAGTTGTGGAAACCCGCCCTGTGATCCTTAAAGTTAGTATAATTCTCGAAATGAAACATGTTTCGAGGGCTAGGATTAACAGTACATGGCTTGAGCTATAATTAATTTATTGGGAAATAATACTTGATGGATCGTAGAAGCTGGAACTCAAACTATGGCTAGTTAGGAAATAATACAGATGCTATGAGACGATCCTCATGCATAAATAAACTCATGAAAACATTTTTTAGTTTATTTCTTCAAATAAAAAAATTTCTCTAACTAACCTAAAATTTTTATATCAACTGTGGCAGAGTCACAACCTTCTGTCTTTACGAATCAGCCATTTCCTCGCTTCCCTACATCACTCTTAGGTTTCCAAGGAGTATATCGAATTTGTTTGTTGTTCCTGGAAAAACGAAAAACATAGGTACACATACAGTAAGAGATCATAATCAAAAGATACATACTATTTGTTCATGAATTTAGCCTGGAAGTTATAAATAAATTAAACACAAGTTTTCTGTGTACGGAAAAATGAACAATAATTACTGCCAATGAAATTAGCCCAAGGCTCCATCATTTTTGTTCCACAAATTGGATGATTTAGAACACACCTAATGCACCGTCAATGAGTGTATGAACAATATAAAGTAGCAACCACCTTATTAACTGGCCATTTGAATTAAATGTTACATTTTAAGAGCAGCAAAGGACCTTCTAAATAGCTTTCCTGTGTTTATGACTAGTTCCCCAAATGCTAATCAATAATACAAGAGAGTTCATAAATGACATTAACACCAAACATGTAAAAGAATTCGAGAACCACCCAAGAAAGGTCAATTCAATCTTATTCGGTTAATGCTCTAGCGGATAGAAGGCTCTACAATTACTGTCTCCATAAAATATAATAATAATAATAACATTTATAATTCTACTAACCTCCAATCAGTAAGACTAGCTTCCCTACCATCCTTCACTCCTTTCTAACGCAGCAACAAATCACGTACATACGTAGGCATAACCAAGTGACAGCCATAAATAGGAAATACCATTGACCAAACTTCTAAACAACCAAACAATGATGACCCTCGATCTCCCTAGCTCTCTTATAGATATTGAACCATGTCTTATTCTCTTCCTCTTAAGCAAATCCTTATATTTGAGGATAGATGGAGTTGCTAACCCAACAAGAAAGGGAACTTTTGTAGGAACTCCAACATGTCATCACAAAATACTCATCCATGAGAACTCTTTAAGAACAATATGAGTTAAGCCATACAATATATGATATAACATCATAATCTATTGATCGTCTTCTTGAGAACTTGGGAGCCATATAGATTATAGAGGATTACAATAAGGTCACTATCCATTCTTCAACTCCCAATATTCCGTACTTGAATAAACCATGAGTTTTATTGCCTATCTCCTACACATTCCATGTGATTTACAACTTTTGTATCCTAACGATCAACTGTAAAAAACATACAGAGTGCAGTGGTTTATAGTCTCACTTAGAAATTTACATAAAGATGCTCGAAAGCCAAAACAGAGTGAATTATATCTATTTTTAGGTTTGCTACTTTGTTTTGGTTACCAAAGATAAAGAGAAGAGCTTTATAAGAATAGGTGCACCATTTTTTTCCAATTATTTTGCTTATTATTAAGATGCATTAAGATAGAAATTTGGGCATTTGCAACATTTTTTCAGTATTAGCATGCAACTATGGATATCCTAGTGTCCCGAACTAGATCTCTTGCTAATGCTCTTTTCGTATTTGAAATTGTTAATGTCTCCATGGACAATAAAATTAGATCATTTGGACCATTCTGATTCATGACCTTCGGACCTTGATATTGTTTTGATAGCATTTATTTGTTCATTAGTTAAATAAAGGTGGTCATGTACCAAATTTACATGAAGTCATGAACCATAGTGTTAATGGAATCATTCTCATTTATTATTCTTTCCTTATTATTGTATTATCATTAATTAGGAGAATATGCTAAGTAAGGAATATGTAGAAAATCCCTTTCTTTCTACTATAGGATCTTTATTTGATTGTATATATTTTATGCTATAATTAGGTCCTAAGTTATAGGGATTTGATGTACTCTTAATATTTATATATTGTAAATCCGTAAAGAAAGAAACATACAAAACTGTTCGGAAAAGTTTTTAATTTGTCATGGTATCGAGCTAGGTTTCGACATTGTTTCATCTTCTTGCCTAGTTTTGTGATCCTAGTATTCTTATCTTGCTATTCAAATTTGAGTTATCCGATTTGATATCTTAGTCCTTTTTTTTTTTTGTTTACTTGAATCATATCTTTAGAACAATTTGAACATTTTTGTGTTCGATTTAATGACAAGAATTATTTTGCTTGGAATTTCAATTCTAGATCTTTGTCAAGGGAAATGAATTATGGGGTCATATTGGTTGGACGAATATTGCACCCGATAGAGAGAAGGAGAAGGAAAAGTATGTGAAATGGCGGATGAAGGATGCTCGGATTATGTCTTGGATTCTTGAAAGTGTCGAGCCATTCATTCTTCTCAACTTTAAGCCTTATAAAACCTCTAGAGAAATGTAGGGGTCACTTGAAGAAAGTTTATAATCGAGCAACATGGTACGAAGGTTTCAATTGGAACTTGAGTTGGGTAATCTTGTTTAGGGCAACATGTCGATTCAAGATTTCTACTCTTCCATTCGGAATCTCCGGGTTGAATACACTAATATTGTGTATGTAAGTGTATCTTTTAAAGGACTCTTTGATGTGCAAAGTTTGCATGAGACTCGCAAACGAGAACCGTTTTTGATGAAGTTAAGAGGAGATTTTGAAGGTATTGGATCCAATTTAATAAATAGGGATCCGGTTCCCTTCTACGATACTTGTCTCTGTGAACTATTAAGAGAAGAACAAAGGTTTATTACTTAAGTTGCCATGGAGTAGAACGCTCAAAATTTTGCTCCAATTCCTATTGCCTATACTTGCTCAAGGAAAATTTAAAGGAAGTAAAGGCATGAATAATGTCTAGTGCTATAGTTGCGAGAGAATTTGGACACATTGTCACCAATTGTATTATGAAATTTAGCAATTATTGTAAGAAAGTAGGACATATCATCAAAGATTGCTCCATTCGAGTTCCAAAGAAATCGTTAGAGCCTACAATGTCTTGATTGATTCCTTAAATGCTTCGGTTCTACTATTATGTCTTCTGCCCCTACTTATGTTTCTTGTCTTGGTCGGTCTTCTATTACTCCCGAAATGGTCCGATAAATGATAGTTTCGCCTTTTCTCGCTTTAGGAATTTCAAGTAAAAGTCGTTCTACTTCTAAATCTTGATATTTCGATTTCGGTGCTTCAAACCATATGACCAACACATTGTTACCTTTTACTAATGTCCAAAAATATAAAAAAAATCTTCATATTCACATAGCCGATGGTAATTCCTTGCCTATCATAGCTATTGGTGATATTTCAGCCTCGTTAAATATTGTTTTTGTGTCTCCTAATCTATCCATTAATCTTATATCGATTGAACAAATAGTTGACAATAATTATAATGTTCAATTCTCAAATTTTGTTTGTTTTGTGCAAGATCAAGTGTCGGGGAAGACAATCGCACGTGGACCTAAAGTGGGATGTTTTTTTCAATATTTCTATCTTCGTCTTATCCATTGTTAAATTCGTTGTTTGCAATGTTGTTCAATGAAATGATCGGGTGTGGCATAAGCATTTAGGCCATCCTAATTCTCATGTATTTCGCATGTTGCTTATATATGGCTTACTTGGCAATAAAAATTCGATATTTATTAAGATGTCAATGTTGATTATGCATCTTGCAAGCTTAGTATAAGCAAAACTTTTGCTTTTTCTTTGCATACAAACTGCACCACCAAATCTTTTGAACTTGTTCATATTGATGTTTGTCATATTGATGTTTGGGGTATTGCACCAATGATTTCTCATGAACATTACAAATATTTGTCACATTTATCAAATATTTCACTCATTTTACTCAAATTTACTTTCTTAGGTCTAAAAATGAGGTTTTCTCTATGTTTAAAATGTTTTTTGCCTTGCTTGATACACGATTCTCTCGCCAAAGTCAAAATATTACGATCACATTCTAGTGGCGGATATATGTCAAATGAATTTCAATTTTTCATCCAACTTCATGGGATTGTATCACAACATTCTTATCCTTTCACTCCACAACAAAACGGTGTATCCGAAAGAAGAATCGTCACCTTCTCGATGTTGTTCGAACTCTTTTAATCGATTCTTTTGTTCCTCCCTTATTTTTGGTATGACACTTTGTCTAGTGTTGTTTATTTAATAAATAGGTTACCTTCTTCAATCTTGGACAATACTTCACCTTATCTTTGCTTATTTGAGCATGCACTCGAGTTACTCAAATCTTTATCGTTTTGGATGTGTATGTTTCGTTCATCGTCTTGCATATGAGAGAACTAAACTTATTGCCCAATCTATCAATGTGCTTTTTAGGATATGCTGAAAACCAAAAAGGTTTTCTTTACTACGATTCTTATGCTCGTTGTACTCGTCTCTAGAAATGTCATTTTTTTTAAATTAGTCATTCTTTAGCACACAATAGATTTTAAAATCTCCTTTTATATCTATTTTGTCATATTTTTCGAGTCTCTAATACCAATACAAAGATTTAAGCACTGGCTATGTTTATTAAAGATGTTTTTGACCTATATTTGATCCTCCTAAAAGTCCAATTGCGGTTCCTTCGGATCTTCCTATGGCATTTGATCCTGTTCTATCGATTGCTCGTGATCCGGCTCCGCTCCAAAAAAGTTCTAGAACTCATAAACCTCCCGATCGGTATAGAATTATATCCCATGTTTCTTTGTCTACTACTTTGTCTTCTATTTTCATTCCCTTTTGTTGTAAACGAGCTATGGAGCATAAGTGCGGCAACGAGCAATGAAAGTAGAACTTCAAGCACTTAAGGAAAACCACACTTGAGATATTATCTCTTATCCTCCAAATGTGAAACCCATTGGGAGTAAGTGGGTTTATAATCCGAAACTTAAGTATGATGACTCTTTAGATAGAAACAAAGCTCGACTGGTTGCTTTTAGAAATAAATAAAAGTATGGACTCGATTATGATGAAAACTTTGCTCGATTGCCAAGATGACCACGATAAGAACTATTATTGCTATTACATCCTCAAAGTCTTAGCCATTACTTCATATGGATGTAAAAAATGTCTTTTTGCATGAAGACCTCAAAGAAGACATTTACTTGAAACTTTCATCCGATATGCGAAGTGACTTTTCCTCATGAAGTTTGCAAGCTAAGGCGATCCCTATATGGGCTGAAACAAGCCCTTTGAGCCTAGTTTGAGAAGTTTCGCAACACTTTTCTGAACTTTACTTTCACACAAAGCCAATATGATTCATCTTTCTTCTTTCATAAGACAACAATTGGTATGGTTCTTCTCTTGGTCTATGCTGATGATATAATCTCATTGGTGATAACAAAGGTATAATCACTAAAGTCCCGTACATGTTACATAATACATTTCATATAAAAGATCTTGGACATCTCACTTATTTGTTGGGGCTAGAAGTTCACTCTCGGGCATATGGGTTGTTCTTAAATCAACATAAATATGTCCAAGACCTCATTGACTTGGCTAGTTTGAAGGATGCTGCTTCTATTAATACACCAATGAAGGTGAATATGAAATACCAAAAATATGAAGACGAGCTTCTTTTTGATCCTTTTCTCTATAGGGGACTAGTTGGTAGTCTTATCTACCTAACTATTACAAAGCTCGATATCTCATTTGTTATCCATATAGTTAGCATATTCATGCAATCACCTTGGCATCTTCATCTTGCTCGCAATTCAACATATTATTCGATACTTAATTGGATCACCTAATCGTGGATTATTATTTCCTAGAGGTTCTCCTTTTTACTTGATTGTATATAGTGATACGGATTAGGTCTGGATGTTCAAATGCCGAGAAATCTACGATCGATCGGTGCATCTTTCTTGGAGATGCCTTGATTTCTTAGAAGTGTAAGAAGCAAGATTGTGTTTCTAAATCTTCCACAGAGGATAAATATAGAGCCATGTCCGAACCTTGTTCCGAGGTTGTGTGGTTATGTGATCTTCTTTCCGAACTTAGATTTCCTCAAACTAATCCTACTCCACTTCATGGTGATAACACTAATTCCATTCGGATCACAACTAATCCAATTTATCATGAGCACAACAAGCATATAAAAGTAGATGGTCATTACATTCAAGATGCTTTTGATCGTCTTCCGGTCACTCTTCATCATGTCACTATTGATCTTCAAATAGCTAATGTCTTTACCAAAGTTATGACTCGCCGACGACATTAGTTTCTTAATACCAAATTGATACTAATAGACTTACCGCATGAATTTGAAGGGGGATGTCAATGAAATCATCCTTATCTATTATTCTTTCCTTATTATTGTATTATCATTAATTAGGAGAATATGCTAAGTAAGGAATGCGTAGAAAATCCCTTGATTTATACTCTAAGATCTTTATTTGATTGTGTATATTTTTTGTTGTAATTAGGTCCTAAGTTGTAGGGATTTGATGTACTCTTAATATCCATATATTGTAAATTCTTCAAGAAAGAAACATACAAAAATTTTTAGAAAAGCTATTTAATTTATCACATAGAAAATTTGACTAACCGAAGAAGATATTGTTGCTGATGAACCTAGAAACAAAAGTTTTTGACTGATACCCTCAGAAATAAAATCCCTGATACTTATTTTCAAATCTCGGCATAAGCGTTCTAAAAATAATTCTTGGCAGAAGTATACTACTTACATCCGAGACTTTTCTTCTCTTTATACTTTATCATTGCATTTTCTTGAGCCTCTGTATGTGCACTCTCTAGATCAAGTGAATAGCATGGTGCTTCAACATCAGTGAAATATTGTAAAAGTTCACTATCAGGATATTCATTACTCCTGCTTTTAACATCAGGAGATCTGATTGTCCAAGGAGAATCAAGACTTCTAGAAAAGTTATAAGCTTGGTTAGAAGGATCCTTATCATTGCCAATATGAACAGAACGACTAATGTAAACAAACGAAGCAACGGAAGTATCCTATAGTTTTTTTTTTTGTTTTTTTCAAAAATAGGAAACATTAAAACAGGAGAAAGAACATATATCACGGACCTACTTGTGTAGAGACATGCATATAGGATGGACAACGCCTTGAATCCAAAAGCCTAAGCCATTAGTCATGTGTCCATCTATGCAAATAAGAACTTGACTTTCCTCATTCCTAACCTATCTAGGATTCCACACACTTACATATGCACCTCAACACTTTTTTTTTCGATCCCATAAACAACAGTTCATAGAGCTCATTTAATTTCTCTCTCTTATGTTAGAAAAATCTTCCTCGTCAAAAGTTTCTCTCAATAGGACTTCATCATTTAACAAATTTTGAGATAGTTGGAATATAGAGGAAACTGCAATAGATTAGGAATTTCCTATGAAAAAAGATCAAAATCCTTTCACTCACATAAAGATTTAAGACATATTGGAACTGTTATTTCTATCTTAACTAGTCAAGTTTAAGGATTTTATAGAAGGAACATATAAATTTGTGGTTTAATCATATACTTGTTTAAGCAGTATGTCCAATGCAAAAACTAACCATGAAAAGTATAGATATCACAAAAGTTTATAAAAAAAAAAAAAAAAACTCTGAAATTTAAAGATATATGATACAACTAAATTCTAATGGCAAAAACCTACTTCCTACATTACTTACACGTTTAATGAAAATGTCTATAACTCAGTGTTACTCATGTGCAAATTTTTCTTATTTCCACAACAAATATTTTCTGTATGCTTTACTTTAACCAGAGTGTGCATTGAATTTAACATCTGGCATTTTTTTTGTCATAAATAAATGTGTAAAAACCATACCTTCCTTGCTCTTCCATTGCTATTATTGGATTTCTCAATAGCCATATCCTCCTCAATATAGAAGCATGACGAATCATTCCCATCAAGATAGGCTCCAATTGGATCTTGATCACCCCCAAATAGTTCTTCAAAGTTGCAAAATGTTTTATCAACATCAGGTATTTTAAAATCATCATGGCAAATAATGTCTTCACAAACCCCAAGGTCTTGCATATTTTGAGACCACAACTGTAAAAGTTAATTAACAAAAGAGTCAAGAGGTTAATTTCAAGCAACAATGGTCATTTTCTAGTCACATGTAGTCAACCTTTTTAATACGGTTACTTATTGAACATGGAAGCACAACGAAATTTCATGTTATTGTGGTGAATATGTGTAACAACAGTATTCAAGCAAAAGGCGAAGGTCAAAGCTTCATGATGCAGGACAGCTTAGGGGCTGTTCGGGATCTGATCTTTTGTGGCTGTTTAGGATTGTATTGAAGTAGGTTTCTGCTGGAATATGAGGAAATATGTGGATAAATTTCTAGGAGTCACACCTAGAGTTCTTAAGAGTCACATAGGGGAATTGAGTCACACAATCAAAAGAAGATGGTTGGAATTTTATTCATAAACTGTCATTCATAATTTTGAAAGACTACATTCTGTATTTATAAAGTTGTAGAAATCCAAATCCTACTAGGACGAGAATTCCTAAACATCCAACATAACTATTCCTATTTAGAATAGGAAAATCTATAAGCATTCCTATTTTAGAATAGAAAAACCTCATAACTTTAGGACTAACAAAATAAAATACCAAACAGAAATAAAGCCTAGACCTAGAAAATTTCTAGATTTCCAGCAAACCTGAAAAAATTATTAAAATATGCTTGCATTCTAAAATTTAAACACATAAATCTTAGTCTTTTGTCGTTCACATCACTTCATGATTTTGAAACAAAACAACTAAACTTCAAATTATGAAGCAACTTAATTCAAATTTGAAGAATTAACAACTGTAATGTATATTTGTAACTTTTCTGAACATCCACTTTCAGTGCTGCATTATTGTCCTGTGATAATTGTGTCATTAGATAAGTTATTGTTGTATAGCAGTAGATTCTGTACCCGGTAAATAAATGTCATCAAAGCCAGGAAGAATCAAACTAGTGATTAAAATCACGTGATAGATAAAGCAATAGAAGAAATATCCAGTAATTCAATACAAACCAGCACTTACAATAGCACCACAGACGCACATATTGCATGATGAAAATGCAGTTTGTTGAGGGAAAGAAATGTTCATTTATCAAAGCAACTTCTAAATACTGTTGATACTAATTGTAAATGTTCTTTTAAGAAAATTTTGGATGTGAAATAAACAGATGGCAACAAAAAGAAATGCGACAACTCCTATTGCCAGTTCAGAGAGAAGAACAGGACTACGTTTATTCTGCATGAATCCATTGATTGTGAGAAAAAACTTTTTCATGTCCTCAAGACAATGAATAACTACAGCTGATTATGCAAAACCCACTTTTTCCAGTGATTTGACCAAACCTGACTATTTTGTATTGGACCCTTGCATGGCCAAAAGGATTCTCCAAGCAAACCATTTGCAGCAGTTGAAAAGAAAGGCAAATGTTCTGGCTGAGAAAATGACAAAGGCAAAGAATCCACTTTTAGACCCTGAAGTTGGCAGTCAGTTTGCTGAAGACTGGCAATAAGATCTTGTAAATGATGTGAATGATTGAGATTGCCATCAAGATTCTTCGTAGTGGTCAGCATTGAAGAAGAAACAATTTTATGTTCTTGACCACGTATTATAGGAGAATTGCTGTCAGCATCAGTGAGCTGAAGCCTTTTCAAATCAAGAATCTGTTCCAGAATAAAGCAAGTACTTTCCTGCTGTGGACTTTTGTATGATAACTGAAAGATGAAGAACAAGACTGAGAAGGCAATCTAGAAAGGGTTTCAAGTCTTTAAAAAGAAAGAAGAAGAAAAATTATTGCATAGTTCTTTGTTTGTTACATAATAGTGAATATAAATGGTCATTATCATAGTTGTAAATAAAGGGTAAGTAAAATCATAATCCTCCGATGCGGAGTAATAATGTAAGTAGCAGATAGCTCTGTGCTATGCTTCATGTACCTTTGCCTGCTCTCTGAGTAATATATGGGCAAATTCTTCATACGTTTAAGTAGAGCTTATGCAAGAAATCAGAGGTCTTCAACTGCTAAAAGGTTGATGATATGGGAGATAAAGGAAATTGCCTTCTTAGCTTAAACAAGATAACGTACTACTGATCTTAGGGCTATATTTTAGGGTATCATGAGTTCTAAGAGCTATGTAACCTTGAATTGTTAATTGTCAGCGGGGAATTTCATCAATCAGATTGTGGGTTGACAATCAAGTTCTAATGTCTCATACACAAGACATTAAATATTATCCTAGTTGTAACTGCTTCGATTAATTCTTAAAAGTGCAATTTCGTTAGAAGCAATCAATCTCTATCCATAACTTCACCCTTCTACTAGGCAAGGAAATGAGATATAAAATTACAGCTCATATATCAGCTCAGTAAACAAGATCACCCTTCCGCTAGGCAAGGAAATGAGATATAAAATTACAGCTCATATATTAGCTCAGTAAACAATATGATGGAGTCATGCAAAATATCATCATGAACACTTTTAAACTCAGCTTAAATTTATAATTTAGCAATCAGTAACTAGAGATGGATATCATTCATTTAGAATTGGATTGCAGTTGATATTATCTTCCTATTATCTTGCTGAATGTGCTCCTCATCCATCAATTTTTTTTTCTTTTTAACTTCTTGACAGAAAGATAATGGTAGAAACCATGAACATGAATATGGCCTTTCATAAAAGCAGCTACCTGGTGTTGTATATTCGACAAACAAATTCTCATGAAGTTTAATTATAATAATAAATACCCCCAATTAAATCAACAGTCAAAATTTCAGGCAAACATAAGCATACTTGAAAATCTTTAAATTCAGCGCACCTCATCAGGTCGTTGACTGCCTGATCCAACCTCCGACTCAGCACCAGAGACCAAAGTTGAGCAACTCGCTCCAGATTTTCTAGAAAAGCGTCCAATTTGTTGGTAAGACTTTCCTGGAATGTCAAATTTTGATGCACTAGGTTGCACAGAAGAACATGAGGTGGAAACAAGCTGATCTTTAGTAACACATTTATCCAGCTCCCCAAATTGAAAACCCCACAGTAATGCGAAGTCTTTAGCAGAAGGGCATCCTAGGTAGCTACTGACTAGCCGTTTCTGATGGTGGGAGAAGACGTCATGCAGGCTCCGGTCACAGCCATGACACATCAGCATCTGGTGGTCCAAACACTGAGCATAAGCTGGATGGAACCTGCATGAGTCACACAGGAGAGTACGGAGATGCCGGTTAAAAAGTGTGTTTGCTGAATGGACCTTTGCATCACAGGAAAGGCAAAGATATGCTGCATCAGCCTTACAGTAAACAACTGGCCTCAATGCCATGCAGAATTCACAAACTTTCTCCATCTAATTATTTCCAGATCATTAATAAGCCCACAAATCCAAAACCTCTTAGGTTAATGTTTCGCTTTTGTAAATAATAACTCCACCAATCGTATCAGGACCAACCGATATCGTTAACATTAAAGACTTGCTCCTTTTAAAAAAAATTCTGCAACAGTTTCCAGGAGCCGAAACAAGATTCCTGCATACAAAATGAACAATTCAGTAGCATAGTCAGTGAAACAGCTGGAATCCTTTTCCAATTGTACAGCATGAAAATACACTTTGCCAGCACAAAATCCTCTAAATTCAGCCAACAAGACCTCGACGTTACTACTTATCCACTTAGGGGAATTTTCAAACTATGTTAAAGAAGAATGAATTCTGGATAACGCAAAAAGTATATTTTGCAAAACATGGCCAATTTATTCTGCTCTTTGACAATGAAAGAATACTCTATGATCTTTAAAGATGATTTTATTCTTCAAGGCGTGGCATCTGCATCCTTACAGAATCAATTCAACTGGATAAAATGTTTGTTGCCAAAAAGTTACAAGGAAGCCTTTATTAATATCTTAATAAAGTGAGTTGCATTCCAAACACAGTATATACATTATTAAGATGGTTAATGATGAATGGAATAATCGGAATATACATACAATTAACCATACATATATACATACATATGTATGTATGTACGTACGCACGTATATGTACATAGATATATACATATTTGTATATAGATATATGTATATAAGATTAAAAAAAAGGAATATATGCACTCAAAAACCTTGTGAGCATCACAAATATCAGATCAGAAGAAATGGTAAAAGCAATATCAAATTAACCTGAAATAATTTGCTCTTAAATTAATTAATATTCACTTAAATAAACACAAATTTTATTCGATAAAAAAAGAACACACAGATACAAAATCTGTAAAAATGTGAAAACACAACTGTCGCAGAGGTGATATGAAGCTAAAATCTAAGGAAAAAAGTCTCAAAAACATCAAATTCCCTCAAATAAAACATATCCATCCCGAAATGAAAAATCACAGAATGAACTGATCAACTAACAGATCCAAGACAAAAGATGACATATATTGTGGAATATAATTCCATAATATGAGAAAAGGAGGGAGGTGTTTTGTCACGTACCTATGATTAGTTTCTTCGGAAAAATGGAGATTAGTCGTCCAATCCATAAAATGATCAGAAAAATTAAGCTCAACAAGAAGAGAGTGGGAGAGACTTAAATAAAGCTGCTTAGCTTTCCCCTGTTGCTCAGCGTTACCTTTTTAGGATGACGTGTTAGCATGAAGGGTGAACTTTTTGCTGACGTGGAACTGAACACGTGGTTTCAGAAAGGGTCCCACCCCGTAGCGTTATCCGTCTGCATGTGAATCTCTCTCCTCTGGACCCTACTTTTTTTTAGTTATTTCTTGCCTTTTCCCAATTTTATTTTCTTCCAGTTTCTGTGATGTAAGAGAATATCAGGCCCCGTTTTGTAGATGTAGATTTTTTGAACAACTTACTGATATATATATATATATATATATATGTTTTTTATTTTAAGTATGAGTGCTCAATTTTAGTTGGATTTTATAAATACCCAATGTCTTCTTTGAAAGAGAGAGAAATTTTATAGTATTTAAGAAGTAAAAAAAATATATAAGAGAAAAAAATTTTAAAGAAAAATTTAAATAAACGTGAAAATCTTCTTATCATTTTTTATGAGTCCGAATGTGATTTTTTTTTAATGTGTCTATCTCTTTTCTAAAAATAATTTAATAAAATAATTATTGTACATATCGATTAATTATTTCTTAGATATTATAAAGAATTTTAAAAACGAAAGAAGATAAAATTCAACTCGTTTGATTAGAAGTGGACGAGAAGTTAGTTCTCCCATTTTACTACCCAATTTAGTTTTTTAACTTGGTTTTTATTTTTAGTTTGTGGAGTTGTAATATTTTATTTTTTTAATGTCATACATTTACCTTTTATCTTATAATTCATAAAGGTTGTTTTTATATATACATATAATTTCATGTATAGATTTAGAATTTATGTTTTATTTATAGTTTTATGATCTATTCATAAACATGTAGTATGTATTATAAACTTAAATTTTATTTTTATAAAATTAATTATGAAAAAAAAAGACGAAACAGATTGGATTGAGTATCTGATAGAAACCAATCAAATGGATAAATCCTTCATCCCATTCAATTACATATAAATTAATTATGAATTTAAAAAAAAAATTTAACTCACATACTCAAAACTTCTATCAAAATTAATTTATTAATCGATGATTTCTCATTTTAAGAGATCAATATTATTAAGCTGGTAATGCATTTGAACATCTAGGCCGGAGAATATTGGCCGAAAACCATCCCGATCGGATCCTTTACCATTCCTAGTTGTGAAACCAGGACAGTCACAGAATACTTTTTAAGGATTGTTATCCTGATACTAACTTGTAAAGCAAACACATTTTCCATGGGCAAACCCAAAGCCTTTTTTAGCAAATGAACAGTAGCCTGTCTTATTGTGCAAGAGAGAGAGTTATCGTGATGTGATCCAAAAGTTATTCTTATTAGCGAATCGTTGTTCAACACGTCGGACGAGAATTTCGTGGGATGACAGCTACAAAGTTTTAAAGTTGAAAAAATTATTAAATATGTAACTAGTTATATATTGTTTTTGGATAAAAATTTGAAATTTATTATGCAAATAATTCATAAGTCTAGCCAGAAAAATTATTACGCTGCTAATTTTAAGTGCCAAAGGAACATTGCATGATCCGCAAGGCTGGGAAGATTAAAACGTGTTTAAATAGATTTTTTCAAACTATACTTACCATCCTTTAAATTCAGGTGTCTTTTGGTTTTCAAGAATGAAAAATTGAAAAATTTAAAATGAGAATACAAGAATCAAAATGAAAATTAAGAAATCGAAATGATATTTATATTCTCATACTGTGTTTAAAACACTAATGAGGAATCAAAATACAATTTAAATTTTTTAATATCTGATTTTTTATACAAATAAAAATAATGATTAAAAAAATAATTTTATCAAACTATAATAGTTATAAAAATAATAAAGATAATAGTGATTATAGCAATATGGTTTTAGTGGCGGTGGTGCTAGTGATTGCGATGTAGTGATGATAGTAATGATAGTAAAAATAGTTAATAGACAATAAATAAATAAAATATATTATTATTTTGAAAGAAAAAATTTCATTCTCATTCTTTATTTTTATTCCTACACCATATATGAGAATGAAGTTGTGTATAAATTTTCATTTTCATTTGCACTCTTTATTTTTATTTTCACTTCATTTCTTTTAACCAAACAACTATAACGTGAGAATAAAACTTTCATTCTCATTCTCATCACTCTATTCCTATTACCAAACAACACTTCGTCGTAATAATCTTTAGGATTTTTTAACATGCGTCTAAGGACTCCTTTTTCGTTTTTTTATTAAGAAATTATAAGACATGCTCGTGCTTGTATTACACGTTTTAGAATTTATTTTTATTTTCCGTGAAAAGAAATAATGGGATCTAGATTATATAAAAGATATAGCTTTTTTTTTTTTTTTTTTTTTTGCTAAATTTCATCTCAATCTATTGACCATCTAATCAAAATCTCAACTCTTCAGAGTTGAATTAGATTGATGAAAGTTTAATGGCAATTACCTTCTTGTAGTTTCAACTTCCTATTTATAGTTTAACGACTTATTATCCATGACGCAATCAAACAGCAACATAAATAAGTTGAATCTTTAAAATAATATAAATATTTTCTTGTAATATATACTTTCTTTGTTCAAGAAAGAGAGTTTTGTTAAACCTTTTACACATATTAAAACAAACCATTAAATTGGGATTTACATTATATTTGGTTTTCGTATTGTTTGAATTTCTTTTTATTAAGATCCTATATTATTTTTTAATTTGTTTAAAAAATTTTAATTTTAGCGATTTGTTAATTCAAATCTTATGTTAACTATTCATCCAACATGACATATTAAAATTAACGATAACCAATTACGAACGGACACATGACATAATGAGTTTTAAGTCTCTTAATTTTATATTAAAAAAAATTAAAAATATTTTTATTATTAAAATAATGTTTAATATTTAATATTGAGAAGAAAAACATTAGTGTTGTTAAGTAATCAGCAATAGAGTAATGAAAATAAGAATGAAAGTTTTATTCTTATATTGTAGCTGTTTGGATAGAAGGAATGAAGTAGGAATGAGAATGAAAATTTACATACAATTTTATTCCTACATTATGTGGGAATAAAAATTAAAGAATGAGAATGAAATTTTTTTCTTTAAAATAATAATATATTTTATTTATTTATCGTCTATTAACTACTTTTATCATCACCACAATTACCACCACCATCATCACAATCACCACCACCACTAACACCATCACAACCACCACCACTACCACCACAATCGCAACCACCACCACCGTCGCCGTCGTCGTAATCATTATTATCACCATTACTTTTATTATTTTTACAACTATTATAGTTTGATAAAAAAATATTTTAATCATTATTTTTAATTTGTATAAAAAATCAGAAATTAAAAAATTTAAATTACATTTTAATTTTTCATTGGCATTCTAAACACAATATAAGAATATAAATACCATTTCGATTCTTTAATTTTTATTATGATTCTTGTATTGTCATTTTGGACTTTTTATTCTTTATAATCAAACGACTTGTTGCCCATTTCAACAGGCTAGGAGTCTTCGTTTCATCAATCAGCTCCACTCCATTCAACTTCTCTATGGCTCTCTACCACCCCGATAAACCAAAGGTACCCATTTTAATCTCCTCCGAAGAAACCCTTCCTTTTGCTACACTTGCGAAATGCATCCTCCAACAGCACCAGCCCTTCCCTTGCTTGCTCTATATACGCCTTTCGTGCCTCCCCTTCTTTAGCTGCTGCAACGTTTCTTATTGCAGGAAACCACGTCTCATCGTGATAGGCAGCCCAAAACACGAGCAATGGCACTGGCACGATCATAAAGATCAGAGGCGAGGATAGAAGGGGCATAGCCAGAATTTCTTGTCAGTGGCTGCAAAATATTTTAACTGGTAAAATAGGTAATAAAATTTACATAATAGAACTATAACTATAATTGTTAATATGCTACAAGAAATGACAAGAAAAATAAAAGGAAGTAATTTACTTTTAAAAATTCAACTTTAGAATTTTACAAATTACTTTTATAATTGTCCTTGACGATTTTTCATACTTTGAAAACGTTGCATAATTGCTTCGTTGGAAATAACATCAAACACATCTTTCTCAAGATAAATGATAAGGCAATCATTCAATAGTTGATGGTCGTTCTTCACCTAATCGCCTCTTCACCTCCCTAGTTAAGTTTTTTTTTCAAAAAAAGGTTAGTTAGTTTGTCATTGGTATTTGGTGGATCATATTTTGAGGCCTTGATATGAGGACCATATTAAGCATGTCAATTATCTAGTTACAACAGAACGAATGGGATGTTTCTCTCCTTTTTAATTCCCTGGGATCTTAAGATGGACCATGGCTATCTCTCCTTTATTTGATTGCATTAATATTTAATTGGCTTTTTTATTCTTCTTTTTTTCTAATTAAACTCAAGAGTCAATAGGTCATAGAGCAATTTTTTTTTAAAAAAATAAAGTACTATATGCATTTGACACTTTTATGAAATTTCAATGGAGTCAACTGACCCCGTTGAGTCTTCTTCAACTCCGCCCTTACAGAAGACCAAACCTCATCAATGTACTCCACTATGACAAGAGACCTACAAATGAGCTTGCCATCATTTATCAGAATGGGGATTTTTTTTATGAACAAGATTTGATTCAAGAAAAAGCTGGCTTTTGGATTCCAATTTTTCCTCAAGAAACTCATACTCCACACATTTAACATTGAGGGCAATTCTTGGCCTCGTCACAAAAAGGCTTGGCCATGCCCCCAATAAGTTTTACATCACTGTTACATATGATTAATACTATCAAGCAAAAAGAAGAGTTTAATGGCAAATTTTACCATATTCTATTTGTGATTTGATAATTTTGAGTTTATAGTATCAAATTACATAATTTGAATCCTAAAATATTAGAGATTGAACAAATATGAATCACATTTGTCCAATTTTCGTTATGTGTAACGAAACAACTTGAAATGCCAAAACAACGTTATTTTGACATTCTACTATTAATTATATTTAATATATATATATTTTTAACCCTCTAATCTTGAACTTTTATTAAAAAAAAATTTATAAATATTTTTAACCTCCTATTTTTGAATTTTTAACCTTTTTTATAAAATATTATAATTTTTTATGATTTATAAAATTAAGGGGGTCAATCCTTTATTATTCTCATTTTAATTTATAAAATATTTTTTAAAGTCCATTATGTATTTTTAATTATGTTTTTTTTTACAATAACATTTTATTAAAAAAAATTTAAAAAAAGTCCAAGATTAAGAGGGTTAAATATATATATATATATATATATATGTGTGTGTGTGTGTGTGTGTAGACACTATTAAATGGGACTTAATATGTCGTGTGTCTATACTGTGATTAGTTGTCATTAATTTTAATGGGTCACGTAGGATGAATAGTTGACGGAGTTATAACGGACGATCCGAATCAATAATTTTATAAGAGTAGACGATTTTAATTAAACTAAAAATAAAAAAAAAGATAAAAGGTTTTGATAAAAAAAACATCTGAACAATACAAGAACTAAATGTGAGGTGAACCTCTTTTTATTGTCCTTATCGCAATATCCTTTAAAATTAAATGCAATTGAACATAAAAATATGTAAAATTAATTTTTAAGATGTAAAGTGGTAAAGTTAGACATTCAATTCTTTGACTTTTCAACGAAAAGTATACATTTTGAAACATTTAATTAAGAAACAAGAGATTCTCTTGGTAGGGTAGAGGGGGTAGTTTAACCAAATTTAAAGACATTAAATTTCGATCTTAGGCTACTATAAAAAAAATAATAGACGAACAGAAAATATATTTACAGGAAAATCCCCATGACAATCAATAGCATAATTTTTCCAACGTCGAATCTGTTGTCATCCATATTGTATAGTTATATAATAACAAAATGTTCTATTCAGGATTACTCGAACTTTTTATCGTAATATTTCTTAAACAAATTATTTATTTATAGGAACAGATTTTTTAACACAAAAATGACAATTAACTCACTCATATGAAAGTACAGCAGACATAATCAACATCCAAAAGATTATTTGCTATGAGATAGAGTCTTTACTCGTACTTTTTCACCAAAAGATTTTGCTATGAGTTATTAATACACATTGTGAAGTTGTATATTTTATATCAAAAATATAAAATTGGTTTATGTATTTCTCTGTTGGGTTTATAGTTTATATTCCTTAAATTAATAGCCAAATAAATTGAGTGAAGCAACGAAAAAAGAAAAGTGGAGTACCCTCTAAAAAAGAGTGAAGTAACTTCTAAATTTTATAAACATGATCACCAAATTTGTTCTTTTCCTATCTATCAAAGATTATGACAATTATAAATAGATGAATAGATGTGTGATTTAAATGTGTACAAAACACAAAGATAAAAAAATTTGTTTTAACCACGAGTGTAGATGCACAAAAAGCTTTGAAATTAGATTTTGAATATAGAAATTACAATCATATTCTTATACTAATTTTTTCTCATAATAAAAAATTATTTTTGAATTTATAAAATAAGTAGAATTTTGTCAAATCATGTAAAATCTTGTATGTTTACTCTTATTCATCTTTATTTTATTTTCTTTTCATTAAATTAAGTTATATGTAGTGGTACGTGGAATCTCCTATCTTAATTTTCTAACTTTCTCACACCTTAATTTCCCAACATTCTCAAATGACATGATTAGTGTAATCATAACCAATCTCATAGATTATGCATATAATTTATCAATAATATCTTTTTGCATATTGTCTTATATGCTAAAGTGATTGCACTTTTACCTCAGAACTAAAAGACTTGCTGTAATTTTGTAACACATTACTAATAAACTAAAAAGTGTGGCCTCTTTTAACAGTGAATTACTGTTTTTAAAGTGTTCATTCACTGTTCAAAAGGTTTTTTTTTTTGCCGACCTTTTTCTCTTTCTCCCCTTGCTGCTTTAGCCCTTTTCATCTTTTAATAATTTTACGTTTTAGTCCCTATTTTGTAATCTTTTTTAATTTTAGTCATTAAAATTTTATTATATTTGATTTTTATCTTTATAATAAATCAATTTTTTTTTCAGTTGCTGCATTTTTAAGTCTCTCTTTTGGTTTTTAGTTAATTTATTTTTATTTCAGTTATTATTTTGTAACTTTTTTATTTTGGTTATTAAAATTTTAGTTAATTCTGTTTTTTTGGTGGTTTGGTTGAAGTAGTCTCTCTCTCTCTCTCTCTCTCTCTCTCTCTCTCTAAGCCCTCTTTTGGCTTTTAATAATTTTACATTTTAGTCCTTATTTTGTAACCTTTTTTAATTTTATTCATTAAAATTTTATTATGTTCAATTTTTATCTCTATAATAAATCAATTTTTTTCTCCCTTGCTGCATTTTTAAGTAATTTGGTCCCATTTCTTAGTGCTTTTTGTTAATTATTTTTTATTATTTAAAATTTACTACTTTAATTTGTCATTTTTTTAAAATTCTCACCTAATTAATTAAAAATTATATTTGTTGACAGTTTTGATTTATTTTTTATGTATATTTTATTTATTTACAAAATAATGAATAATATTAGTATACAAAATTCTATTTGAATTATTAGGTGGTTATTCTAAAATATTATTTCAATTATTTTATTTGAAAAAATTAATTTTAAAATATTAAAAAAATAATAGCAAATATTTGGTATTATGTGTATAAATGCATAGTTGATTTCTAATAAAATCAATGAGTCTAATATATTATTATTTTTATACATCATGACAATACTCAATGAGTGAGAATGTATAGCATAAATTAAAACATAGTTAAAGAATTAAATTATAAAATATATATTGAAGTCAATAGAGTATAATAAAAAATATAAAATTGATTTTAATAAAATTTGATTATATAAGAATCAAGCAAATAAAAAAAGGTATAAAAAAATTATTCGAATCCATACATAGAGAAAATAAATTATATTTATGAATAAATAAAATTATATAAAAGATTATTTTTTCTTTTGAAAAATAGATTTCGATAATTTTAAAATTATAGTTTCATGATTAATATATATAATTTATCTAAAATACATTTTTAGATTAAAAGTGTATTTCAAATAATTTTTCTTAGTTTTTTATATTATTAAAAATTTACTAATTAATTTGTCATTTTTTTTAAATTCTCTTTTTTTTTCAATTTCAAACTTTGATTATATTGTGATTTTGTCCAATTTTTTTTGATATTTGTTTTGTTAATTATTTTTATTATTTAGAATTTACTTGCTTTAATTTGTCATTTTAAAAAAATTCTCATTCAATTAATTTAAAATTATATTTACTGATAATGTTGATTTATTTTTCTATATGTATGGATTTTGGAATAAATTTTTAGAACATGATAATTTTTTTTTTGAAAAATAGAATTCGATAATTTTTAAATTATAGTGGCATGATATATATATATATATATCTATATATATATATATATAATTTGTCCGAAACACATTTTTTGATTAAAAGTGTTTTCCAAATAATTTTTTCTCATTTTATTTATTATTTAAAATTTACTACATTAATTAATCATTTTTTTAAATTCTCTTTTTAAAAAAAAATTCAAATTTTGATTATATTGTGATTTGGTCTCATTTTGTTTTAGTATTTTTTGTTGATTATTTTTATTATTTAAAATTTACCATTTTCATTTTTCTAAAATTCTCATCCAATTAATTTAAAATTATATATATCGACAGTTTTGATTTATTTTTCTATATGTATGGATTTTGAAATAAATTTTTAGAACATGATTATTTTTCTTTTGAAAAATAGATTTAGATAACTTTTAAATTATAGTGCCATGATTAAAATATATAATTTATCTAAAGTTTATTTTTAGATTAAAAGTGCATTTCAAATAATTTTTTTTGATTTTTTTAGAAAAAACTCAAATTAATTAATTAATAATTAAAAATCAAATGTGAAAATTAAAAAAAGATGGTTGTTGTCCGCATGAGGCATGTTTTCAAATAATAGTCATGCATAACATAGAAATTAAAAATATTTAAGGAGGGGAAAAAAAAAGAATTCACATGTTTTATTAATTTGTTTCTTCTTTATATAATCAAAATTAATCGAAATTAAATTTGTAATAATTTTTATTTTAGTCTATTAACTTCAAATTTAGTCAATAAATTCCTTACAAGTTAGTTATGATATATAAAAAAATATTGAATCTTCTTTTTTTTAGAAATTAACCGTGCAACTACTATTACATTAAACATTTATTATTTATTTGTTTGTTTTTAAATATTTTAAATTAAATAATTAAAATAATGTTTTGGCTTAACCATTTAATGATTTAGATTAACATAGTTTTTTATTTTAATATTATTCATTCTTTTGTAAATAAATGTATAAAAATTAAATTCATATTTTTTTCAAAAATTGATATTCTCATCAACATTAAATAAAAAATTATTTATTAAATTCTATGTAAGCTTTTAATAATTGTTATTTATGTCTTTCGACACAATCATACGAAATACTATAGCTTTTTTTAAAAAATATTTATTTTCCTTTTTAGTTAATAATCCATTGATTAATAAGGATAAATCTTTTTTCTATAGGAAAAATTATGAAAAATACAAATAAGAAATAATTAAATACAAAATTTTTTATTAAAAAATTATAAATAAAATTTTTTTCATCTTTGATTTCATATATTTTTATAGATACACAATATAAAATATACTATATAACTGAAGTAATTTTTTAAATAATTTAATATATTTTATTCAATCTTCGACTTAATAAGAATAAAAAAAACTAATGAAATTCAATCCTTCTTCACTTGCAGTACTTTTGACAATGACAGCACATGCTTGCCTGAGACAGAAAAAGATTTGAGGTAGATACGGTCATGGACAAGAAATGTCAAATCAAATGGTAAATCCCTTGCTTGACGACACCTAAACGATTGCTTCTGTAACATGTTAGCAACCACTACGTAGTTATGCTTGTCGTTTGCTCAAAATAGGCCTGGGATGGACAAGTACCTACCACGTCCAATTGAACTTTGCATATGCTTAATTGATTGCATTTCTAACCGCTTCCTTCTTGAACTTCACATGAGTGTTACGTAAATATACAAGTCGAGCAATTTTTTATTTTTCAAAGTAAACTGAATAGACCCAACCACGTCACAACTTGTGTTTGATTCCAAGTGAAATCAAAAGTTGAAACTAAAAAGCTTTTACCTTCCCAATGTTAAGAGGAGCCCTTTTGCTGTTTTCTGTCGAAATACTCGTAGTAATCCACTGCCACTAAACCCACCAATTACACCATGTGTTTTCATACATTCATCAAATAAATCTCTATATTTTTAATTCAATAAATTCAACGTGTACTTTTAGTTTTAATCAATTGAATATAATTTCTCAAAATCAATGGTTTTTATACGCGATCCCAATAAAAAATAATACTTTTGTACATAGTAGGATCTGCATACAGTATTCATACTCAATTGATTATATTATTTCTCATTAGAGCTTGCGTACAAAAATCATTCATTTTTTGAAATCATACTTAATTACCAAAATTGAAATACATATGTTGAATTGACCGAATTAAAAACACGAGCTTATGAAAATGCATGATGCAATTGGTAGGTTCTGCCAGCAGTTTTAATAAATCAAGTTAAATACAAAGCTGCCAGCAGAAATGGTTGCATGCAAGTTCGTTTTTGCACATAGAGAAACTTGGTGTCGGTTCCAAATGAAGAGCAAGACAAACAAGAAACACAAATGCAAGCAAGAATGTGAAGTTCTTTTCTTGGCTAAACCCACCTATTGCACCCTGTGTTTTCATAAATCCATCAAATAAGCTCCTATGTTTTTAATTCATCAAATGAAGTTCTTTTCTTGGATAAACCCACCTTTTACACCGTGTTTTCATAAATCCATTAGATGCGAGCAAGAATGTGAAGTTCTTTTCTTGGCTAAACCCACCATTTACATCATGTGTTTTTCATCAACCCATCAAATAAACTGGTGTGTTTTAGCACAAAAAGCAACTTGGTGTTCGTTCCAAATGAAGAGCAAGATAAACAAGAAACACAAATCCAATCAAGAATGCGAAGTTCTTTTCTTAGCAAAACCCACATTTTGCACCCTGTGTTTTCATAAATGCATCAAATAAGCTCCTGTGTTTCTAATTCAATCAATTAAACAAGTGCATTTCCAATTTCAGTCAATTGAATACAATTTTGCAAAATCAAATTGTTTTAATACCTTACTTCAAATAAAAAAAATATAGCCATATAAAAGGAAATCCACATGCGGTATTTATACATGTATATATTCTATTTTTATTCGATCTAACATATAAAAATTATCAATTTTGCAAAATTATACTCAAATGACTGAAACTAAAACTACATGTGTTTAATTGGCCAAATTAGAAACACGAGGACTTATTTGATGGATTTATGAAAACATAGTGCAAATAGTGGGGTTTAGCCTTGTTTTCTTTGACATTACCATGATCAAACAGTTTCTGAGCTTCTTGCATGAACACCATCACCAATCAATTCCAAAAAGAGTTTGAAGGACACTATACACTTTAGGCCAAAGACCAAAAAACTGTCAATCAAAATATAAATACTGCTAATGCCAAGTCAAAGAAAACTTCAGCCATGAACTGCACCCCGAGAAGCAACCCCTAGTTACTTATACCTATAGTTAGATCAAAACCTTAAGCATTAGCAAGAATTCTGAGCAACTGAGTTGCTAGAAGGTAATGCACCTGCATCAAAGAGAAGAAATAATAAGCTGCAACATGGAGCACAGACAAATAAGGATATTTTGCAGGCATGGAAAGCACCATACTTTAAGAGAGAGAAAGTGGAAAAGGAGCATAGGAAAGCACCATAGATGTATTGAACATATATGCAAACCCAATCTAGTAAATCAATTACAACCTCAATTGTAAGAGTTACAAGCCATAGATGTATTGAACATATACGCAAACCCAACCTAGTAAATCAATTACAACCTCAATTGTCGCAGTTACAAGCCTCACTAGTCGCTAACCAATGAGCTTCTAGCTCACTGGTAGTGCCCTCTTGCTTACAAGCAAGAGGTCATGGGTTCAAATCCTAGTTATGCTAAAAGCCTTGGGTGTGTGAGCTATATATATATATAAGCCTCACTAGTCAATACCATTAGAAACAATTATCTCTCTATTTGTACAAATCAATTTTAATAGAAGCATACAATAGAGTCTCTTCTCATCCCAACAGACCCAAAAAACGAGTGCTTTGGTAAAAATTTGATATTTTAACCCAAAGATAAGTATAAAAAACACGACTACATACCAAAATTTAATAAGAGGGCATGTTAGTCAGCTTTTCTTCACAAGTACTTCGATAATGTCCTCATCATCCATTCCAAGACCATCAGGGGTGGCAGTCGGATTGATTTTGTCCCCATCAAACATAAAAACTAGGTTCTCAATGCCAAGCTTAACTTTATCAGCATACCGTTTGAAGAGCCGCTCGAACTTTTCATCCTGTCAAAATAGTGTTCTAACATAGTCATGCTATTGAATATATATTTTTCATCATTTGTAATACACAAAAAGGATGCAAAAAGAAGTACCATATAAAGGATTTTGTTAAAATATCTGGAATGACATTTAAGATGCCTTTAAGACCAAGGGCATTTGCATCCATAAATTAATGAATAATTGAGGCCAGCATCTTATCCAAAACAAAGTCTATTTAAAATGACCAGTGATGAATGTCCAAATGACATGTCAAGACCATATTAAAAGTCTTTTCCAAGAGAAGTGTATATGAGATGACAATATCCTAACCCCAAGCTTCAAGGTACAAAAGGACTTCAATGATATTCATTTGGGGTGTGTGGTGTGGTTCCGCACATATATGGTTCTTTCCTTGCATCATTTTAGAGAAGTTAATAATCTAATGTAGAGCGCTCTATATTTTATTCCGGGGTTTGCATGAATAATCTTATCATGGCTACATGAAACAATCAATTTTATATACAAAGGCTAAACATGAGATAAACATACCTTGTACACACGAAATTGTTTGACTTCATCCTTGTCTTGAATAGAAATAACTATTTTAGCTCTTACATGATGAGGCTTTGATGGTTGCTCGGCCAAAGAGTCTAGAGCAGCATGCACTGAATCACTTTCTCTTTTTGGTGACTCCACAGATTGAAACAAAGACTCTTTTCTTGTAAGTGCTTTTAGCTCTTGCTTCCTTAACCTACATGTATGGTTGAAATAAAACTGTTAACCAAAGGTTCATCCAACATGGTAACGCCAGAAGATAAGAATTAAACATTTTCACAACATATCAATTGAGGAAATTATATAGCCATGAGTATAAGGAAGCTTAAATTTCACTTTCGGAGGAAAAAAAAAAACACGAGATATTTACCTCAAATCTTCACAAAACAACTACCAGGAGATATTAACTTTCAAAGCAAATATTTCAAGCATCAATCTTCATTTGGGTGAAAAATTATAAAAATTAACAAGTTTTGGTGAAAAAAAAAAGGGTGGGTGCCAACAAGGGAGCTAGGAAAAGTGTAAATATTTTAAAATAATGAAAGAAAGGAGGAAGAGTAAAAACTTGTCTGCAAAATGGGCTTTCAATAAAATAACAGTTGACATGCTTGAAACAACGGCCATTATCATTATTTAAAGACCACTATGAGTGTGTTTTCAAAAATTGCAGTTGCTTCAGAAAAAGAAAGATAACAGGATGCATGAAGATCTTGTTCCATTACAAGTATGTTTAAAACTGTGGTGTGCAAATAAATAGAGGAAGTTTCAAATTGCTCAGGATGAGTATGGTATGATGAATAAAATATAAAGGCAGACTTTCATGTGAGTTGTTAGAGATCAATAATGTAGTGGGAGTGCATGAAAAAAAGAACTCAAAGGAAGCTTAAAGTGTTTAACAGCACATCACTGACCACTAAAACTGAGCTGCTGCTACATTGGTGGCCTTTTTTCCAGATGAAGTAAAAGGCCTAATAACTTGAATAGCTAATGGCTAAAATAGATTGCCTTTTCTAACAGCTAATTTTCAAAATGTTTTTTCTCCCTTAAGAATATGGTGCTTGTCACTAGAATAACCAGAGAGAATTGAATAATTTGTTCTATAACCTTAAACTTGAACTATTGCAAGCTGCAAGAAGAGGAGCTCAACTTTAGTTGTTAGTGACAGTCACTGTTGGGGACCTGAGATTATATTTGAATTTTATTAGTCATTACCATCCCTTGATATTAAGATCATGTTAAATTCCAATATATATATATATATATATATAGTTTAGTTTGGTTATTTTCTGCTTTTTATATGAATTTGGGTTATCTTGGTTTTAAACATTGGAAAACTGAAATATTGTGTTTCATCTGAAAAACCATCAGTAATGAACCAAATGAAATGAATGGCCAACCCATATAAATGGAAAAGAAGCTGTTGCACATCTCCATCAAGGAGATGATCAAGCTCAGTTCATACCTAATTTAAACAATAGTATAGCATGCCCGATGATTGAACAAAGGAAGCAAATTTAATGCCAATAGAAGTTGCAATTGTTATAACAATAAGAATTTATACCATTAATTTCTCATGTAATAAATCTTAATTAACTACACAAGACATAATAAAAAATGAAAGAACCAAAAATAGTAAAGCATAGGCAACATTAGATTTTACCAATTTGATAATAGTTACCTTCATTTTAAATGTGTTCTCTTGACATTGAGGACTAAGCCTTGATATGAAAGTAGCATTCACAGTAGGCACGAGTGTGTATGTTATGAGTGTATTCACCAATCAATTAAAATGAGCTCTCCCAAACTCAGCACCACTAAATGCCACTCCAAATCTAATCCTTAATGCTGTTAACACTATGTTATACGCTAGCTGATCTTGAGTTGCCATAAAGTGTTCAGTAATTTTCTTCCTTTAATAGTTGACATCAAACAATAACGAACAAGAATTCATAAATCATAAACACGAAATTACTTCTAGCACAAAGATTAATTTTAGATTAATGAGAAAAAATTCACAAACTTTACAACTCACGATGGCATTACTGTGTGCACAAATCACAAACGATAAAGATTATAAACCGGGCAGGAAATATATTTAACTAAAATTGAACAAACAAATCAAACCCTTTAAATAAACAATGACACTTTCGTACCTCAACTCTTTAATAGCCGAGTCCTCACCAAGCTGCTTCAGTGACTCACTGGAGTCCTTCGGAGGAGGAAGTAACCAATCCTCGTCATCATTAGCCACTTCTTTTACTTCATCATCCCCATCATCTAATAGAACAATCTAAAATCCGAAAATAAAAAAGAATCAAAATTTCTTTAAAAAAAATTGAAAAGCACATCATAATCACTCAATTTGTTCAATCAAAATTGACAATGTGGAAATGGGAGAGAGAAAAAAAATCTTTACAGTATGCTTGGAAATCTTCCTTTTTTTGGGAGAAGGAACTGGTGGCTTATCATAATCACCATCATCATCATCTGCCATAGAAAGACCAAATCCAAATTTAGTTTTTCCTTCTTTCTGCCATCAATCAACCAAACAGGGAACTCAAGAAACAAATGAAGGTAGAGAGTCTTTAGAAGTAACCGTCAAGGATTGTGATAGGCTTCACGCGACGGTAATCGAATAGAGAATCAAGATCTTCAACGGAATCAGCCTGCAATTTCAAACACTAAAAAATTATTAGAGCTAAAGAAACCCTAGCGATTCGTTGAAGCTTGAAATCCGAATTTGGAGCGAGAGAGACGCACCATAAGTAAAATTCAAAACCAAACGCTATTTCTCCGAGTCTGCTCCTCCTGCCCAACGGCCAAGTAAGGATTTTACTAAAATATAAATACTGTTTGATTTGATTGATTTTACAGAGTAACAATGACGAGGATGGATGCACAAGGAAATTTGAATCGTTGAATTTGATTAAGAGACTGTCTCAGCTCGTGGTTTGGCGGTTTGGTGAATTTAAGTTGGGCTGGGTTTGGTGAATTTATTTTGGGCTGCCTGTTGCAATCCTAATGGGCTCTACTCAAATGAATTGGACCAAGCTATTTGTATTCATTCAACAATAACAAAACTCATGATTCGGATATCCGTTGTATAGTTGCTTGATGCACGTATCTGTACTTTTGTTTTGTGTTTTAAAAATAATTTTCATGTTATTTTTTTATGTTCATGTCAACTTTATGCTTTGTGTTTTGTCTTTGTTACGTCCCTCTCTCTCTCAAAATAAGAAATGATATCAAAATATATTACCGGCGTATTATGTTTAGATAAATTAAATGAAATAGTTTGTGACAGCAAAAAAGATTTTTTTATATAGTATCAAAGAATATTAGTATTATCATTGCAAATAACAACCAAACCAATTGACTCTAATATCCATTCATATAATATATAATATATATAATCATCAACATATTCCATACAATAAAAACTAAATATTTGATATAAAATATCCAAATTAGATGATCTAATAAAGTATATACAAAAATAAAATTTTAGAATAATAGTTTCTTTGTGTCTCCAGAATTTGATGTTTGAAACTTGTTTTAATGTATGCATGTTAAAAAACATATATTATATTGAATAGTTAAATTAAAGATAAGTAATATATAAAGTCGTGAAAGAACCATCCAATATAAGATCTAAATCTTTTAAATGAAATCTAATATAAACTATTTAACTCTATAATATACAAATGCTAGTGATGCTTTTATGAATGCATAGTTGCTAATTACAAAAATGTTAGTTATTATATAACTAGGAAATTATTAATTTGTCATTATTAGGTTGTAATTGATTTCATTGCTTTAATGTCATACTCACAATTATGCAAAGGAAATCAATAACTTAAGCACAAGTTGTTTATAAATCGATAACTATTCGTTATAAGTTGGTAACTATATGTTATAAGTCGAGTAACCATAGCTGTCATCCTTTGTGTTTAAGAGATTAGAAAAAAAGTTATTTGTATTTTTAAAATTATTTATTTTGAGATAATCAAGTATATCCTTTGTTCTTTAATGAAGTGTTGTTAGTTTTAAAGTTTCATTAAAGAATTTGATGACACTATGAATTACAAAATGCATCCTTATTTCAAAATGACGTCGATAATCGACATACTTAATAAGTTAAAACCAATTAGACTCCTGTTTGAAAAATACATTATGTAAATTTTGTTATTAATTACAAAATCAATGAGGTTTGTTGATGAAATTATAATCCAAGACATCTAAGAGGAATGATAGAATTAAAGAGAATTTAATAAGAATATTTTTCATGTTTTAATACTTCTCGTTATAATATATATGAATGTTCACCGAATGTTGTAGGCGAGTGGGAAAGAAAATATTTCGACTCATCATATTAAAATTTTGATTTTTATCATTGAAAAACTCTTTTTTTTTTTTTTTTTTGGCACTAGACATAGATTGTTGGTAAATTCAACGATTCCAATTTTTAGAATCAACCAAATATTAGGTATGATCAAGCAATGACCTAGCCTTAAAAATAATTAATTTAATCTCAATTGATGTAAAAATATTTTATTATATGTAAATAAACACATACACATGTGTATTTTGTGAATGTTTAGCATTAGCAAGATCTTCCTACATTTTTGTGTTTAGTGATTTTTTTTTTTTTTTGTATTTTTATTAAGAACATTAAATACCACACAAATTATATTATTATCTAACTTTTATGATCACTTAATTAAAATTTTCGCTCACTATATTAAACTTATAGCTCCATCTCTAGAGTAACTCTTTCTTTGTGAGCTAGCAATCTCAATTTATCACATAACACAAGTCATAAAAAAATCTAATATGATTACACAATTTTTTACTAATTTGATCGATCAAATACATGAAATTAGAAAAAAAATTGAGTTTTGAAAAGAAATGGAAAAGGAAAAATTGAAAAGATCAGTTATGGTTATATGTGAATCCTTAAAAGAACTCAAGTAAAAAAAAATGAAAAAAAAAAAAAACAAAAGGGAAGGAGAAAAAAGGAATAGGGAAACTTTCTTTATTGACGTTTTAGGTACATATTAAAAAAATTATTAATTGATATTCCATACCGTTATTTTTATTTATATTTTTTCAAAAATATTTTTTTAATAGTAAGTTTTTTATAAATAAATTTTAATTAAAAATATGATAATAAAATATATCACTTTTGACCAAATAATTATTTTAAACAAACAAAAATAGAAATTACAACAACATCTTTGAGAGAGTCATTCAAACAAGGAGAGGCCACATGAAAGAAAAACTGTTCATTACCATACATAATCTACATATATATGGGCATGTAATTACCACAGTCAACCCAAAAAGATTGTTGACTCTTTTTTCTTAATTTCCAAGGATATTGGGCGACTTTTTTTGGTAAGTTGAGGACGATGATTGGCTAATTAGAGAGCTAGGGCCACAGCAAATCTGAATGAAGCAAAGAGAATGAGTGACCAAATCCTTATTAAAACCCCCCATTGGCCCTTGCATACAACACCCTTCAATGCTTCTTCACTCACTCTCTCATTCTCTCTATTTCTCTTAGTTTAGCCCTTTGGCTGAAGCTTCTTTAGCTTCAACCTGATCGTCTATCTTTTCTTATCTCTTCCATTCTCTTTTGGGATATCTAAAATACAAGCTTCTCTGTTGAAGGTGAAAAGGAGGGGCAATTAAAAGTAAAAAGAGATTTTTATTTCTTTTTCTCCTATTCTATTTTGTTATTCTAAAGCTCAATATCTATTTTTTTTTCTCTTCTTGTTATATGTTGTTCTTCTTTTCATTTTTTGTTGATCTCTAATAAGTTTCTTTAATTTTTTTTTTCCTTCTTTCCTCTCTAAAATGGAAGTGGTGGAAATACCAAGGAGCTCCATTCCTAATTTCGCTCGAGGGCTCAACATTTTGCTGGTGGATGATGATACAGCGTTCCTCATGTACCTAGCATCATTGCTTGAACAATACACATATAAGGGTAAAAGGAAGAGTCTCCTCTTGTTTTAAAATAGCCATATTCCCTTTTTATTTTAATTCTTCCAAAAAAAAAAAAAAATACAGATTTTGATACATTGCCATGTTAAAAATTTGATATTTATATAGCAGCATTTAATATCCGTTACTATTCAAAATTTTATCAGGTATGTCTAAATTTAAATTATCTTTAATTAAAAAACTTATATGTGGAAATAGAATTTAAACTCAAAACTTTAATTTCAGTATCTATCAAAACTCAAACTCAAAACCATAATTTACTTTTAGATCTACTGTCATTCAAGACTTTCTAACACAAAATCCGAAAAATTGAAAATTATAACCGAATTTAGAAAAAAGTTTAGCTGTGAATTTAAAATAGTTTGCTTGAATTTCATTAGCATTAGCCCAGTGAGTGAATATTCAAGCTATTCAACTTTTTAAGGTATGTTTCCCGTAATAATGTTTTCAAAATTAAACAACAATGTACTAGGGAAATTTAAAGTCGATGGTCTAAAAATTTAAGTTTCAAACCTTATTTCTTTCCATTTGTTTTTGTAATAAGAGTTTTGTCAACTTTGCTCTGTTTTTTTTTTAAAAACTAAGTGCTATGATCTAAAAATTAAACACCTGTTTTAATTCATAAAAAACAAAAAAAAAAGAGCGAAGATCTTCTATGTCATCAGTATTTCTCTGGACCGCTTTGCTATGGTTACACGCACCATGGAGAAAGCAGGATGCTCCATTTCCTTCAGCAGTATATATATATGAATAAATGCTCTTTTTATGGGGTAAATATATGAAAAATATGTGTTGATAATTGCTTTTAATTAATCTCCCCTTGCTTAACCGTACCGGACCAAATAAAGGTTCATTAACTATTAATTCATTTATTTCTTTATTTTTTTTAACAGTTACCACCACTCGACTAGCATCTGTTGCTTTGTCCATGATCCGAGAACAAAAGGACAAGTTCAAGCTTGTTATGACTAATGTTAACGTGCCAGATATGGACGGTCACAAATTCATGCGCCAGCTATTCAGCAAGAAGATTCCTGTTATCGGTGAGTTTCTACTTAATTAGTGTTGTATTCTTTTCTTTTTTTTTTCATTTAAATTAAGATATGCGCTCTCTCCAAAAATTGCATTTTTTTTTTTTTACCGCTGAACAAAAAAGTATTTTGTTGTGAATGACCAGAATATTGAGGAATTATCCCCGTGTAAAATTATAATTCTTGATATGTTTTTTTCATATAAAAAGGAATTTTTTTGTTAAATAAAAGCAAAAATAATATATACTATTTATCTTTGTTTTCCGAGTCTATAGTAAGTTACAGACAGAATTCCAAAAGGTTTTCAACAGGTCTTAAACTATGCAACGGAGTAGTTTCCTTCCACTCTTGAATCCCTTATTGGATTTGAATCTGAGACTTTCTGATGGAAATTCAAAATCTTAGCCGTTGAGCTATCACCTTATGAACTAACTGAATTATACTCATGAGAACATACATTTTTTTTTTAATGAAATTGCTTACAGTTTTTCGTTTTGATAGGTAGTCTTCAAATTAAATTTTCTTGTCATGAGTCATGACATAACTTCTTTTTATTTTCTCCCGTCTAACTTCGTTTATTAATTTCATGCAGCAATATCCTCAGAAAGAAGTGTGAGTGTTGCATGCAAGGCGATCAACGCAGGTGCATCTCTGTGTCTTGATAAACCAATATCTTTGTATGATCTCAAGTACCTGTGGCAATATATATTCGAGAGGACAACAATCTGTCGAGCGAAGGTGAATATTAGAAATAAATCTCAAGGCACAGTAGTAAGGGATGAAGATGGAAAGACTGAAGTTCCCAATGGAATTGCCTTGCATGGAGCAGCTGGCTATCAAATTGCTACGGCGCCTGGTTCAAAAGGAAAGGATCAAGTTGTTGGCTTTAAAGACTTGGATGCCACTAATCGTCAAGATATGATGGCTGGTCTTGAAGTCTTCGAAGATGGTGCCAATCATCAACAGGTGAAGGCTGATCCTAAAGGTAAGTTTAAGCAATATGAAGGGAAAGTCTTGAATGGTACTGCTAATTATCAGCAAATGATCATCCCTAATGCTAATTCTGGAGATCAAGGTAAGCAAGTTGATGCGCAAGTCTTGCATGGTATTATTAATTATAACCAATCGATGACTCAGTTGAAGACGCAAGAGAGGAAAATTGGAGTGGAACAAGTTGCCTTAGTGAAGGAAAATTACACTAGAGAAGCAGAAAGTATCGCCATTGAAATGACGTCAGGGCTAGCAGAAATCCAAAAACAAGATGCTTCAGTGATAACTAAAAGCCAACAGCAAAGTGGATCAAAGAGGCCGACTGATGGTGATGAAGGACGTCAAAGCAAGGAGAGAAAAGTTGAAGCTAACTCAGAAATAATAAGTTCCAGTGGTACAACAATTAATCTGGAGAAACAAAAAGAAAGTGAATGCAACAAGGGTAAGGAGACAGAAATGTTCAAGAACAATATTAATGCTGACGGCTCCACAGAGAAACGACACCGTGCCGTTTGGGATCATGACCTTCAGACGAAATTTATGTCTGCCATCAGTGCATTAGGGGACCAAAGTAAATTTTACCTTCCCATGGAATATGTTGTTAGTCCTTCATTACTTCACCACACATTAATTAAGCACCAACATCTTGTATTTCTTGTTTACTTTTGGATGCAGGAGCTCGTCCGAAAAATATACTAGAGAAGATGAATGTGGCCTCTTTGTCCCAACTCCAGGTTTCCAGTCATCTGCAGGTATTTAAATAAGTATCTTTTAAACTTTCAGTATCAGGCTTGATCCATATTCTTGAGACTCCAATGGTTATTTCATAATCTTCTTCATTGTCTTCGCAACCTTTTTTTTCACCAGGCTGAATATTTGGTTTGCAATTATTTCTCATTTTGTTGGAGTTACTTAGGTCTGCACATGGATTTGCATGTACGAGGGTTTATGTATAAAGATATACGGCATTTAACCCAAAAACCTAGACAAATAAATTATGAGTTCAAAAGCCTAGACACATGGGTTATAGAAATATTGTATATATAAACACCTTATTTTTCTCATTCTTTTTCGATGTGAACTATTTATCACTTCACATGTGAGTGTATCCATTCGAATATAACTCTCCCTTCAACAAAAACATTTTCAATATTCTGATTATGACAATCATAACTTGAGTACCACAATACCATCAAGAGCTCACTGTTCTTTCAATAGCCTGCTTATTTAGGAGTCCGCACGTAGCCTCCACTCCTAACTTAGAGAAGTAGCGTCTTTCTACTCCGAGCAGCAACCATGACACTCCATCCACACTGTCTCTAACTTGTCCCAACTAATACAGTACTATATTGGCTATGCGAGCATTTGTCGTGTCCACTTGTCCTAGCCGGACCATCAGTTCTAATACCATTTGTTGAAAAAATCTTCACTTATTAAAGTTATTTAGGCCTGCACATGGATCTGCATGCGTGAGGGCTTAAATATAAAGATAGACACCATTTTAATTAATCAAAAAAGTCAGCAAATGAGTTATGGATTCATTTTATATATAAACACCTCGCACCTCACTTTTCTTATTCTTTTACAATGTGAAATATTTATCATTCACATATAGACCTGACACATTTTGAGAAGGCAAACCATGAAATTTATAGGAAAAACTTGATAAGATCGCCATCTATGGGGTGGAATGGATACGGTGATCAGAAAAACTGCTAAACGTGCTTATGCTTCATTTCTTTTACACACCTTTTCCTTCAATGTTTCAATTTACAACACTCCAATGTCTTGTGCATAATGTTGGTGGCCTCCCATGGTTTTCATTTCAGAAATACAAAGCTCAAATACGGCATATTTACGACCATGCCACCACATATTCTTCCGCATTGAACGAGCCATCCCCTGTTAATAATGAAACTGCAGAAGTTCCAGTCCTTGAAAAGACTGGTTCAGAGAGGGGTCAAGTAAGAAACCAAGGTTCTGACTACGGAATTGAAGGTAATATGGATAATATTACAGTTAATTATGGGTAATTGATTCCACAAGTCAGGAAGCTTTAAAATATTATCAGCATGTTTAACAATGGAGTGCACCATATAGTCTCTAGAATGCTTTTTTCTTACCATAGAGGATATGAGAATTTTAAATCTGATGTTTCCTTTCAATTTGATCAGGAGACAAATATGGGATCTTGAAGGCACCTACAGATGGTGTTAATCAAGATATCCTTTCTTCATTTCTATCAGGAAACAAGAACGAGACTCCACTGATGTCTGCTGGGGCCTCACTAGGGCAGCAGGTTTATGGAGGAGGTCATTTCACCATAGAGAAAGTTGCCGATGCAATCAAGTTAGCAACAACCTCAACTGCTAAGAACCAAAAGCTGGATTGTGTAAAACCTCAAAATCCTACTTCAGGACGTCCTGTGCCTGATACAATCAAGCTCCCAACAAACTCCACTGACAAGAACCCAAATCTGGATCCCAAAGTTTCAAATCCTGATCCATACAACGTGACCAATACGGACGAATTTACGAAAGACTTGAATGAAGTGATTCAAGAGCTGGATGCTATAGAAGTTTCAGATCCACATTCTAGTTCATTAAATCACAATCAGCCTTTATCAGATTTTACCTATATGCTCAAATTGCTTGAGAAAGAACCTATCGACTCCATCGGTTTAACTGATGATCCAAACCAAGATGAGGTTGCTTGCTACCTTGAGTCACTATCAGAATTTTTCCTTGGGAACGACTGTCCACAACCATGAGGGTATGTGTAAAATTCGTCAACCTCAACTCTGTCACTGGACCACAGTTTAATTTCCCTAGTACACAGGCTTTGGAGAGTCAATATAAAAAGTTGCTTTAACACATGTTTTATTAGTCTAAGGAGTGTTTGTGTTTGAAAATAATTGAACTCCTAAGTTAAATCTCAAAAGCTTATCTATTCAGTGGTTAAAAATCATAAATAAGAGCAATCTGCTATTACAGAGAATATAAGAGAATGCATTATAGTTCTATCTGTAAGCAAGTGCAACTTATTTTGTCATGATTAAAACTTAGGCCACACTACTTTCTGTACTGCGCGCCTGTAGCTTTTTGCAGTTATACAAAAAAGCATATAACTAAGAATTTAAGGTGACACAGAAACAGAAAGAATTCAAGCAATTTCCCCCAAGAGGCAGCCGATGTGACAGAAAATTGAAACAATCTAGGAAAATCTGTTACGGTGAGCACACCAAGTTCAAACTATTATAATTATTATATATAAAAAAAAAACTAAAACAAAACATTCAAACCCTGTTCAGTGTATCAACTACTACAACAAAAATCCCTTACAGAGGTAGAAGGTCTCATGAGGCGGTAAAAAAAAATGCCTCAAAGTTTGATAATGCTATATTATATAGAGCTTATCTAAAAACATATAAGAGGCGGTTGACAAAACCGTCTCTTTCAGCCAACTCACATTTTTTTTTCTTTTTCTTTTCTAATTGGAGTTCTGGGAAAAAAAAAAAAAAAAAACAACCGCTTCATTATCTCACTCATCCTTCAACTTCTCTGCATGTTTCAGATCTATGGTTTTTCTTCTTCTTTTCAATTCAATTGCCCTTCTTCAAAAAGTAAACCCACTTCATTGCCCTTTTTCTCTATTCAAGGTATTCAAATTAATCAAAAACTCTCCTTTCATGATATAAAAAAAACCCCATTTTTAGCTTAATTTTTCTTCTTGTTTCTTCTGACAAGGAAACTTGACAAGATTGAAGCGAAAGACATGCAACTTCACTTGTCTTAAACTCCATTCTAAAAAAAGAAGACCATTAGTGATCATCAACCAAGCAACAGAAGCTTTTGTGGTTCTACATCTCTAGGAGCGAGATTCGAACTGGACAATCTGGGCCCACAACCAGGGTCGAGAAAGAAGAAAGAGAAAGGGAATAGGTATCTCGGCGGGACAAGGAAACAATTGTGGATTTTGTATGAGAGGTCAGAAATCTCGGTCTGGTCCTGGTGTTCGAAAATGGTTTTAGAATGGACAAATGCCTCTTTACCATCATATCCCTAAATTGCATGGAATTACTGGAGGTATTCTTTTTTCTTTTTTCTCATTAATTAATTGTGAACTTGGAGAATCATCTTATTGATGAATTTCTTTTTTTAATGTTTGATCCACTTTTTATCATTATTATTATTATGAGAAAATTTTCATTCATGTATGTTTCTGTAATTGAATTTCAGTAAAATGACAGCTGAGATAATCTCCATAATGAATTGTATTTGTCTGCAAGCATAAAGTACATCTTTTGACAAATTGTTTTCTCTTTAATCTGGATTTGCCATAGAACTCTAAGATAGTGTAAAAAGTTTCTCTCTTTCCTCATAGGTTTTGCCTTCTGTTAATTTTTGAATTCTTGGTGACAGGTTTCTCTAGAAGGTGCATATGCACCAATGAATTCGTATAGAAAAACTGAGCCAACATTTCATTTATTTAAGTTTGAAATAATGAACACTCAATTCTAAAGGGCAATTCCTTAGACTTTGTAGAGACGGTTATAACCTCCTTTAGGAGAGAAAAAAAGGCCTCCGATGCCCTTTATTGGTGTAGTGAACATAGACAGACTCAAATTACTATGGATTGACTATTCATACGAGTCATTCTTTGTTATGCTCCATTTCTTTTGTTTAATACCTCCCCCTCTTTTGTTTTGTGCCTTTCTTCTTCATCTCTAGCTGTCTTCTTGCTCATTTTTCTTGTCTTTTCTTCTTATTTAATCTTCCTTTATGCCATTAAGTGGTTTTCAGCCTTTTTTTTTTTTTTTTATTTACCTCCCTTCCTTGCTTTTCCTGCAAGTTTTTTTGTTCCTCTTTTGACATTTTCTTTTAATATTTGATAGAGATTTAATGCACTGCCATGAAATGACATCAATGATAATTTCATGAATTTGAAAAATTTTTGGAAGCATCTTATATGTTGCATAACAATGGTATTTTCTTTACTTTCGGTACTTTGTATTGCATTTTATATGATGCATCACAAAATACTATTCACTACTTAATATTGTACTATTCATTATTCTACAAAAAAAACTCTTTTACATGTAATATTTTGTAAAGATTGCACTTAGATCCCTAATTTTAGATTTTAGAGTAAAATTTAAAGTAAGATTTTTTTTCTTCTAAAAAAAGAAATTGATATAATTTAGATAATTGATTCTTAAAATTTTTTAATACTAGTAACATATATATATATATATATATATATTTATTTATTTATTGTATTGTATTGTATTTTCTTTTTGTTTAAGAATCCATGGATAAAGAAGAATTAAAGAAGAAATAGTTAAATATAAAAATTTGATTAAAATATTATAAATTGATTTTTTTTTAATTTTACTTTTGATTTCATATGTTTTATGAATCCACAACATAATGCGAACCATGAAATTGAAATAAATTTTTTAAATAATTTTTATTTTTTGTCCAATTCGGAGCGTAGCATAGGTAAAAAAACTAGTTGTTCATTGTAGCAAAAACAAGGCATGCAATGTCTCAATTTATTATCGAATTTTGTCATATACGGTCCTTTTATTTTTTGAATTGTCTTAATGAAAACTTTATTATTTTTTTTCATGTTGATTGAGTTTTGCTACTTTTTTTTTTTTTTTTCATCTTTTTGCTATAACGTTGTTAACTATGAGCTAACGTAACACGTCGTCCACTTCTAAAAACGTGTCATATATAGGATCCCAAAAAAAAGACTCGATCAAAATAATTCAAACAAGTATAAGGTCTAAATTATCATTACGATATACACATTCTCTTTCAAAAAGATTGCCTATTGATCTAAATTCACGGACTTTTTATTCTTTAACATTAGTATATGATCTTTAAATAATAAACTGCATCCGTCACGTGTTATAATTTTGGGTATTAAGCTTTCTAACGCTACCAACAGTGTTAAGATTCGCCATGATCATTTGGTAAAAGCATCCTTGCAAAATTGCCAAGTGTGATCCTAGACTAAAAATTTTACAATCCCCAATTGTATATATAGGTGATCTCTTTATCGATCCCCGATCGATATTAACGAGTCTCGGACTATGAACAGGCAAAGAATATTTGCTTTAACAATGGTCCCTGATGACCAACTTTGACATGTCCCTTTTGACGAGTCAAGCTCGACTTGTCCTTTCGATTATTGGCTCTGATATCACTTGTTAAGTTTGAAGTGATACAATTTAGTAAGCTTAAATAGAAATACAATTTTATTATACCACTAATGATAAAAAAAACTAATAATATAATTACAATAACTCTCACAACACTCACTATAATTTATAGTAACACACTAACAAAATACAAACACTCAAATATTATTCTCATAACACTCTCTATTTGAGCTCTTTGTATAGCTCTCTTTAACACACATACTTTCACTTATAATGGCTCGCGGACATAATACCAAGACATCCATATCTATACTAATTAGAGAGAGAGAAAATTCTACAATATTAAAGATAGTCCAACTAAAACACGCACTAAATTTTCATATGTGGATTTTTTGGATGGGATGGCTTGAAATATTTGTCACATGGAGACAAATTGTGACCATGCAAAATGTAAATGCATTAAATGAAAGGTAGGTTAAATATGAAACCAAATGTAAACGCATTGAATGAAAAGTAGGCTACATATAAAACCAAATATAAATGCATTAAATAGAAGGTAAGCAAAGTGTGAAAACATTAAATGAGGTACAAAATTATGGCTAGAAGTGCTATGTTCTTGACAAACAAAACATATGTCACATGTGTAACTCTAATAAGGAGAATGAATGAAAATAATTTAAAGAATATGAAGCTTCAATTAAAACAATTCAAAGAATGTAAGACCCCACTACATCAAAACTCTAAAGTGTTTTATTTTTTTATTATGATAAGTTAAAAATAATAAATAATACATAAAAAAATAACACATAATTATTAAAACAAAAATATGGCTAATGCAATATTGATCGGTTACAAACTTCTAAATTAATGAATCTAATCCTCCATAAAAAGGTAAGAAATTCCAAATATTTGACCAATTTATTATAAAAATGGGGTTGCTCTCCTTAAAAAACTTAGAATGGCACCATATTTTTCTTCAATATAGATAATTAACTATTAGTCAACATTATTGTTGTTTTCATTTTAATTTTAACAAACATATTTGAAACTATTTTTTTAATTGAACGTTGGGTTCTTTTTGCATCTATTTTATTGCTTCTAAATTATTATAATAATTAAAAAAATTAGAGTTTTATTGTAATAGGATCCCATATGTGATACATTTGGCAAAATGGCAAGATGAGGTCTTAAAAGCACAACATGAAAATTGAAAAAGAAAAAATAATACTATGATCTCTACACTCTTTGAACTGTTTTGATTAAAAACTCATACTCTATGAATCATTTTGATTAAATCTCTTTATTGGAATCTTACGTATAACATATATTATATTGTCAAGAGTAGACACTCTATGTTAGCTCACAACTAAGGCGTTATAAGAAATTAAAAAAAAACAAAAAAACAAAACAAAACAAAATGAAAAATAAAGAGACTCAATCAATATGAAAAAGAATATATAGTTTCAATCAAAATAATTCAAAACATAGAGAAGCCATATAATGGTCAAAACTAGTTTATTACATGGAGATCATTTACTAATGTTAAAGAATAAAGAGACTCTGAGTTTAGATCGGTAGACAATCTTATTAAAAGAGAATGT